GAGAAGCTAAGGAAGTCATTTTCATTAGTTGACTACATCTGCTAGAGGAATAGAAAAAAAGAGTAGGAATCGAGCCTGCATGTGGTAGCTAATGAAGTCCCATGGAATTCCGAGAAACCGCAATCAGTAAGCAGACAGATTTAAAAATTAGAGTAAGGCAAGACTTCTTTAGCGGTGCGAAACATGGGTTTGTTCTTGCACGTTCAGGATTCGGCATTTTTCAGAAATATACAAAAACTCCCTGGCTGAGCAAAGCCTAATAAGTCCTGTATCGGAAAACTGACGCGAGCGATCGTTATCTTACCATGCAGGTTCAAACAGTAGCTTTTAACCCGACTATGAGTATTTCTTAAATGGCTCAGTTTTCGAAACTGCTAATGAATAAGCATTTTGAAGAAGCTTCCCACCTGGAAGAATTTGCTGAGCGCAAATGCTTGCGATGAACTACTCCGAGGATACATTTTCGTCAGCACTGCAGTTCGTAACGTATTCCAGCAGCTGTCGCCAACACATACCAGCATACCGATGACAAGCCATAATGCAAGACTGAAAACAGAAGAATGCAAAACTGCAGGCCTTTATTCCGCTAAAAATCGTACTGTAATTTATATCTGGCGCATTTTTCAACGCAATTTTCCACACTATCATTTTTTAGAAGGCTCAAATATTCTGATTCGTTAAAAAAAAATCGCAATTGGATCTAGAAGTATAATTGGTCCAAATTTTGTCTCAAAACTGCCAAAAAACGCCGAACAGTTGGCGTAGATATGCAGTGCACCTAGTACTTCTAGGATGCACCTAGACACTTGGCTTAGCTGCGCAAAGCACTAATCTTGGTTTATCTAATCAGGTCAAAACCTTCTCCGACAAACCTCTGTAGCAATTGCCAAAAGTAACATCCGCGGGCAAAACACTTGACGGCTTCCTACTTTGAAAATTGCTAACAAGCAAACTGGTGGCAGTTTTGACACCCTGATACATGCAAACGCTAATTTACTATAGAAATGAATTAATGTACGGTAAAAGAGATTGGCTGTCCCACGGGTGAAATCCGACTCCGACCCACTTCACGACGAAGGCCGCTTTCCGCTGTGCCACGGCCTCTAGTTAAGAAAGGAAGATGAAAAAAAAGAATTTGAGAACAATACTAGCCGCAGAATATAACATACGGATTAATATAAATTTTAGAACGCGCATAAAATCACGACCAAGGATGCAAATATGGTAATTATATATGCAAAAA